GTTCGCCAGTTCGCCGCCACCTCTCTTAATCCCTGGAGCCAGTGGGCGCTGGCGTGCGTGTCCCTTTAGGTGAGGTCGCCCCAGACAGGCTCGGGGGGTGCAGCATTAGACCCCGCAGTGTGTGTGCGCTTTGGAGGTGAAAAAGCGCAGCACAGTAGGAATGGGCCCCAGCCCGGAGAATCCCACAGCCGCCCCAGGACCCCGGAGCCGCAGAATTCACGCAGGAGGGCCTGCCCACCCACCCACCACGTACGACCTGCACTCCCGGCTCTGACGGTGCGAGCGTCTGGAATCGGGCAGCTTCATCCCGCCTAGCCATCATGAATAGTGTCATATCGGAGGATGTGGCAAGATCCAGATGTGTGGAGGACCTTACGTCAGAGGAAGTGGCTTTCTGATTGCAGCAGAAATTCTCCCACCAATGTTAGTGCTTGAGGGAATGTGACTGAAAGTTTTCATTTTTATCCACGCCCCGTTCCCAGAGCTCATTATGAACTATAAAATAATACAATTATTCTGAAACCTAAATGTAAAATTTAAAACATACTTATTGTGATCTTCTGTCCAAGCATGACGTAGACAAGATGACTGTTCTCTTGGAGCTTTCATTCTAGTGGGGGGAGACATAATTAAATAAAAATATATTAGGTAGCAGACATCCTATTCAGAGGAATAAAATAAGGTGTGCTAGTGGTGACTGGTGCTGCTTTGGATTGGATAGTCTGACCTGGGAAAGCCTCCGGGATCATTTAGGTCAGTGGTTCTCAACCTGTGGGTCGTGTCCCCTTTGGCGGTCGAACCACCCTTTCACAGGGGTCGCCTAAGACCATCCTGCATATCAGATATTTACATGACGATTCATAACAGTAGCAACATTACAGTTATTAAGTAGCAACGCAAATAATTTTATGGTTGGGTCACAACATGAGGAACTGTATTTAAAGGGCCAGAAGGTTGAGAACCACTGATTTAGGTGAACTACTTAGCACATAGTAAGTGATCTGGAAATGGTAGCTATTATCTGGATGATGATAATTTACACAATAACTCTTGCTTTGTCAGCTAGAGGCGAGGCACTGTGCCAGACCTGGTGCTGCAATGGAGATACAGTCCCTGCTCTTACAGTGAAGGCGGCATGCATGCAGTAATGATAAAAATGCTGAATAACTGCTGATAGGGGGAGGGCTCCAAATGGTTGGAGTTCAGAAGTGGGGAAAATTCTCAGGCTTAAGGGAGGTACATGGCAGTGTTAGAAGTGACTCACTGTGATTTCGGTTTTCAGCACAGTAATGTTTTCATGTGTGTGGGTACATGCTG